AATTTAATAAAATAACAAATAACAAATAATAATAATAATAATAATAATAATAATAAAATGATTTTAGCAATGAAATAGGTGTGTTCATCTTTATATATTTACTTGTAAAATAATTGATCCTAACCTCTTTCACGTAACTTCACCAATTCATCATCCTCTTGAGATACTTTAGTTTCCTTTAATTTGCCTTTATATGTTGATTTTTCTAATTTCCTTTGTTTGGAATTGTTTTCTTTTTTTGTATTAATAAAAACAACAACAATAACGATTATTATATAATTTTATTAAAAGTTTATTGAAAATATTTATTTAATATATATACCATTTATTGTTTTTTCTTTAAGTTGACGTGTACTTTCTACTTTTTTACGTGGCTTGACTTCTAATTGAACCAGGGTATCTTCTTTTGCTTCTCTTTTAGTCTGAGATCTCTGTGAGTAGTTTATACATTTAATGATGATAATGGATATTAAAATTATTATTATAAAGTTTGTAGTTTTAACATAATCATCCATTTTTGTAAAAAAATTAATTGCTGTAATCACCGTTCGCATGATTAAAGAGACTTTTTAAATATTGTATTTTTTATTCACATGATCTTGATCTTAATACGTGTTTGTCACACCATACTGATATACACGCTCTAACCACCCATTATTCTGTTATTATTATTATTATTATAATCCTTTGAAATTTGCAATAAGCATTTTTTTGTTGAAAAATTTTTCAAAGAAAACGTCATTTTTGAAACACAAAATTTGGGTCTTTAAACTACTTATACTACTACATGATAAAAATTGGCCCATATTAATATTTATTTTTACAATATATACGAAATCGATAATAAATTATGGCCCTGTAGAAATTCAATTTGCGCGATTGTGTACCATAAATAAAACGAAATCTGAGCTAAATATTATTAACATAATTATGTTGCAAGGAGACTTCCAGAAGTTGGAGGCGTTTCATTAGTATTTTTGATGTGTTGGTGTAATCATAAACGTTGTCACGTGCTTTGATACTCTCGACTTTCAACAAATCAAATTTTGGCTTTTCCTATAGTTATTTATTGTTAATGATAATAATTTGGCCCATATATTTATCCATAAACAGTTGATTCTTGTTTAAGAATGATAAAATTCACCGCATAATGATTTAATCTGGTGCGCAGTACATTAGATTGAAGTTTATAGATTGAGCATCTGGAGGCGGAGAAAAGATTGATGTCACGGATACCATTAAATGATATTGTTATCTTGAAAATGGAACAGAGACAAGACGTTTGATTTAAGTAAACATTGTATTGATGATCTTGAGTATGTATGCTTTGTTGTAGAATTCTTGCTTTGACATCGGTGATGAATATACATGATTTTAATTTGTCTTCTTTAAATTTTTCTACATCATCTCTTGCTTGATGCATACAAATTCAACAAACATCATTAAACTAACCTCGGTCACCTGCACAGGTTTGTGCTTCATTCATGAAAAAATTCTGTGTTGTTTTATTGAAAAATAATTTATGATAGTTTCGCCAACTAACAATTTTGAATTTGAGTAACTTGAATTCACCACCATAGTCAGGTTCTTCAAATGAATTCAACAATTTTTTGCTTCTTTTATATATCATCAGGAAAATAAATTTTACGTAAACCTACATAGGGTTCAGAATTGGCCAGCATTATGTCGATATTTTGGCAATTCTGTTAACATTTCCGCATAATGCTGGTCAGTTTTAAACACTGCGTAGGTTTACGTGAGATTTATTTTCCTGATGATATAATGAAAATAAATTGAATTTCCCAAGGCAATAAATATTTAAAGGGTGGAGTGATCGACTAAAACAAAATTTTTACACGATTTTATTTAAAGTGTTCAAGTACTTCATGACTGTTAGTTAGTATTAGTATAAAGGACATATTACAGCTTTAATTCCCATGGTATGACTGCTCAAAATTATGAAATAAATGTCAAAGATTATAAAAAAAAAATAGCAAATTTATTTAAACATTATACATTACTGCTACATCACACACTCTCTATTCCTACAATAATAACGGATCTTGCTCTATAACGTACCGATAATTTAAGCCCAATTTATATAAAACACTAATGTCTATAACATATTCTTTATATAACGGACGTTTTTTATAATAATAAGCCAAATGGTCCGTTATAAAGAGAGTAGACTTTATACTACAACGAACTCCACCATTACACTCTTCGTTTGCTTTTCATTAAGAAATGAGATTGCGAATATTTAATCATAATATCAATATACAGTCCACTCTCTCTATAAAGAACGCCTTTTCTATAACGGTCCTTGCTATATAACGAACTGAGGATTAAAGTCTGATTTTTTACTATATATTTAAAAATCTTACTTGATAACGGATTTCTTGATTAAATTTTCTATAATGTATAATGAAATTAGAATGGAATGGTGATGCTGTTAAAAATGTCAAAAAAGCTTATGTAAGCAATTCAACAGCTACCCATTATAGAAAGTATGGGCCATCAGGCTCATTTACTAATGCATCAAAATCAACAAGTTCTATTACAAATTATTTTAAGTCAATTAATGTTAAAAAGGTAAGTGTTGATGACAATAATGATGATGTCTTTGATGATGATGGTAATGATAATGTTGATAATATTGCTAATGTTGATACTGTTGATGATAATGTTGATGTTGATGTTGATGATAATGTTGATAATATTGCTAATGTTGATACTGTTGATGATAATGTTGATGTTGATGTTGATGTTGATGTTGATATATACATATATTTCAATTATAAGAAGAATTATGGCATGACTTCCATTGATGCTAGTATGAAAGCAGCCAGTGACATTTAAGAGAAAGGAGTATATAAATCTAGAGTTATAAGAAAATTTTCATCATATTGGTTAAACCATGGTACACTGCCAAAATCATTATAAGGTTGCCATCAGAAAACAAAGTCTTTCATTGACAATGAAGATGTGATTGAACAAACATTAAATTTTGTCAGAACAAATGGCAATAAAGTAACACCTCGTAAATACAAAGATTTTGTTAACAAAGTATTATTTCCAAGTATAGAGACTACACAATCAATAAAGAATTGAAAATTCATATTATGCAATTAAAAGATGGACTGATGTAAGGATATTAATTATAGATGAATGTAAGATTATCATTTAATCTTCATGAATTTTTTTTTAGTATTGGTAAAATATTAATATAACATGTTGCTTCTAAGTATCAATGTTAGATGGTGAGTTGTTTGACAAGTTAGAGGAAATTGCAAGAATTATTAGAAAAAACAATATGCCATTTGGTGGAATACAAGTAAATTTTCATTGATAATCTTATAAATTCTCTTTTTCTTGACAGACCAAATTGTGTTAATGTTATATAATATCAGGGTTGGGAATCATACAAGTACACATGCACATATCGTACACGCACGTATGTATGAGCTTAAAATTTTTTTAGTATATACATTGTATGAACATATCATGTGATTTATGATAATTTTTATTGATTGATCAAATGTAATATATATGTGTAACTTTCGTCACAACGAACTATAATAATAATCAAACTCTTGTCATAATGGATTTTTAAAATTTTTTGCTTCGCATATCACATGTAAAAATATATAAAAATCTGCTGTGGCAAGATTAGTATTAGTATTTAGTAATCTTGCCACAACGGATTTTAAATAAAATTTGTTTATGTGTGCCATTCATCCTCTGTGTCAAGGTTTGACTATATTGTGGAATTAACTACATATATGATTGAAGATATTTAATACTACTATTAATTATTTTAAATGATAATATAATTAAAGATAATTTTTTTATTTTATTATAAATAAATAGAAAAAAAAATTTAGGAATCACGGTAATAATACTGTTTAGCATAATGGACACTCATTTTGCACAACAGTGATTTGTATAATAGGCAGGTGGTTACACAGAGCCAGTTGCTTCTGAAACTTCACTAGAATATAGCTGTAGCCTCTCTAAGTCTAGATCATCTGCAAAATCATAAATTCACCTTTCCCTTTTTAATTTTACCAATTCCGCTGGTAAGTCTTAAATCTTGATTAAATTCACTCCAAATTTTGCCATAAATGTGGAGCTACAGTTCCAGTAGTAAGGTCATTTCCAATTGCTTGTGCTTGAGATAATAATCGTCTATGATTATATATTATAATAATTATTATTATACGACAGACATAAATCACTATCATTATACCATTTAATTAATTAAATAATTTACCCAAAATTTTCATCAGCAAGTTGATTTGTCTCATCATCTGATAAATCATTGTCATCATTGCCAAACAGACAAAGTTGCAGCAGTAAATTTAGGGATTACTTTTATGGAAGTTTCAGCTAACAAATGAACTAAATCAACATCGTCAAGAGTATTATTAAGTAGATCTAGAAAATTAGTTGGAATTACTCTTGTATTTGAAGCATTTGGATTTTCATTTTTCTCGTATGAATTATTATTTTCTCCCATTACTTATAGATTATCAATTATGTACAAATATTATTTATGCCACGTGACCAACATTAAAAAAATTACAATAAAATTTAACTATTTATTTATTATTTATTTATATTTAATGTAAGAAAAATCATAACAATAATTTGTTAAATTTTGAACAATCTCAAAATCTAATTTTTCATTTAATATTAGCGGCGTCAGTTAAACCATCATAAAAAGCCTTAACCCTTGGATGAACCATCACTTTGGATTGATGGAAATTCGACACTTGTAATGAATTTGCTGAAGTTGCACGTGAAAGCGCTACATATGTTTGACCTATTTAAAAGAGTAATTTAAACAAATATAATTTTTTTTAAAAAATAAAAATAATAAATAATAAATTTATTAACCAACCTTTTTCAAATACACGGCCAAGATCAACCTTAACACGGTCTAAAGTTTGTCCTTGACTTTTATGAATACTGATAGCCCAAGCAAGTAGCAATGGTATCTAATCATATATATATTAGCGTGAATATGAAAGTTTTATATTAACATTATAATAATAATTAACCTGTTTTCGACGCGCTAAAACTGTGTCACCGCTCCCTTCAATTTTCCATTCAGAAAACTCAATAACTTGTTGAAGACCATCAGTAAATCGTACAATTGGAAGCAAGTCTTTTGCGTTTAATTTTAAATTCTCCTCTTCACCATTAAGATAAGCATCGGTCGTTAAAGTATTAATAAATCCAACAACTATACCTCTTTTTCCATTTACCAAGTCTTTTGTAAAGTTTTTTATAAGCATCACCTGAGCATTACGTTTTAAAAACAATTGTTTGGGTGCAAGGCAATTTCTTATCAAAGTCTTTAGTTGGCCTCCAGCTGGTTCCCAATCTTCAGCTTCCCAAACGTAAGATTTAAAAGGAATTTCTTTCAGTTTCGCTTCATTAGAAGCATTGACATTATCATTACGTGGATAACTATATGTATAAAATATGTGCGTTGGGGATTTAATAAAAAAAGATGATGATAATGTGATTGCCAACAAATCAGAATGTTTTTGCTTACAGTTCGGTTGGTATGATTCCATCTTTAGGATAATTTGGTACCTGTTTTAAGCGATTCAACAGATTGAGCGATTTTACAGATAAAATTCCACAACGCATCTCATTTAACATTTCAACCAATTCTGTTTGAACAAAAAAATTAATAATAAATAATAATAGTATAAGACTTGTTTATAACGAATAAAGATTTTCTCACCAGGTTCTTTTTGTCGAAAAACGCGTTTTAGTTGAATTGTGTGTTTTATACATTTATTCCAAGTTTTAGCATCAAAGCAAAACTTAGCAGCGTTATTATGACTGATTGGTGGTAATTGATAAAAGTCACCAGTAACAATGAGCTATTTATGATATGTAGAGAAGAAAATTTTTTTTATGGACATTGTTTCAAAAGATTGAATAAGTGATTAAAGGGTGAATGGATATCAATTAATTACCTGAATTCCACCAAAAGGGAAAGGATTACCTCTAACACTACGTGCAAGAGCTTCCAATTTGTCAAATAAATCACCGTCAAGCATAGATACTAATTTGAAGAGCGTGAAAATGTTGAACTTTATTTTAAGTAAATTAATAAACAAATTAAATTTTGTTTTACCTTCGTCAACAACAAGAACTTTTATTCTTCTCCATCTATCAACTAAACTTTTAAACTTGATGATTTTTCTGTGCAATTCCGTTTCGGTTGCTTGTCCGGTACCAATACCAAAAAAGGAATGAACCGTCATACCACTGATGTTTAAGGCTGCAATTCCTGTTGTAGCAGTGACTGCTACACAATCAGCTCCATGAGTGTCTTTAAGAGTATCGATTATAACACGAAGTAAAACACTTTTTCCGGTTCCTTTTATTTAAAAATAATATCATTAACTATTAATATAATGTGAATTATTAAATATCTAAGTAAAATCAAATGAAGTTTTATTTGCTTTTTTACCTGCAGAACCGGTATAAAAAATACTATTATGACTGTTAACAGCTAAGTTGAGGATTTGATTCTGTTCATCAGATAACTGAACGTCGCCAGAATGTGCTATTCTACTCAAGCTTAGTTTTAAAGGTGCTTGAATGTTTTTATTTGTTTCTTTTAAAGGAACAGCAGGATATGGAGCAGCGATAGGTTTTTTTGTTTTCTGAATTTCTTTTGGCATTTTTAATTTTTGATATTATGAAGAAAATTATTAATTTGATTAATTTACAATTATTTTTTTTAAAAAAACAAAAGGAACGCGTCAATTCTTAGATAAATGATTTTTTTGAACGTGATTATTTTACCAATAAAAATTCTTGACCAATTTTAGGGTCAACCCTTATCTTGAATGGTTGAAAATCAAAGCTTAACAGAGTAAGGCTTTGTTATTTGTGATCAATAAAATCAAGAAAAAATCAAGAAAAATCAGGTTTTTATTATTCTTTTTTTATTGGTAATGAATGTCAGTTATATCACACCACGTTAACATCATTTTATAGTAATAGTAATAGTAATTAACAATGCTTTAAAAACAAAAGCCTTTTGAATCGACATCTTAAGGACATGAAATTAGCTATAATGTAAAGTTTTCAATATAAAAATGACAATTCAATTCCTTTTTTTTCATTTTTCTTCCAAGTGAGAAGAATTAAAGGGTGAATATCTAACTAATATTAGCATTTATGACAATAATTCGAAAAACAATACAAAAAATATTTGAAAATTTCTTGTGTTCTAATTGGACAAGCCTCTTATAGATTACACAAATAAAATTAATCAGAATTTAATTTGGAAAAAAAAAAAGAAACTATTCAAATAAATAAAAAAAAAAAAAATATTTATTACATAGCAGTAAAGAATCCTCCCAAACGTCCTTTAAATGTCCTAAAAGTCCTATAATAAAAGTCACAGTATAAAGTTATAAATAAAGAATTTTTTATCACATACGACCTTTTTTTTCTTTTAAAGTATAATAATAATAATAATAAAAGACGAAATATGGCTGAAGAAGCTGCTTCTACTAGCGAATCTGTGACAGAAAATAATACTGAGACCATTCCTGAGACCAATGTTGAAGTCGGTGAAAAGGTTTCAGAAGATGTCATTACTGGGGAGGAAAAAGTTCAAGAAGAAGCCGGTCATAAAGTTTTTGTTGGAAATTTATCTTTTCAAACTTCTGAACAACAATTAGCCGATTTTTTTGGTAAAACCGGCAAAGTGTAAGCTCATCATCTTTCTTTAATTACGTTAAAATTTTTTTTATTTTATATTTACCTTGTAAATAACAATGAATTTATTTAAAAAAAGAAACAAGATGAATAGAAATAATAATATTTTTTAAATATAATTATATATATATAAAATATTTTTTAAATATTTATAACATGAATATTTCTTTTGACTCTTATTATAATTTATTAGTCTTAAGGCCAATATTATTAGTCGTGGTAATCGTTCACTTGGTTATGGGTTTGTTGCACTTGAAACTAAAGAAGATGCCAACAAAGTTGTTGACGAACTTAACAGACAAGAATTAGATGGTCGTCAAATTAATGTTGAAATGGCTAAACCTAAATCTGAAAATGCATCTGGTAATAACTCTGGTAAATCATATTATAACAGTTATCGTGGTGGACGCGGTGGGAGGTTTTCATATCGCAGCAGAAGTAGAGGTCGCGGTAGAGGTCGCGGTAGAGGTAGAGGGCGTGGTAGTTGGGGATATAACTCAAACTATGTATTTATAGCTCATTTTTATTTTATATATATATACATATCTCTTTTTGATGTTTTTATTATATAAATACATATTACTAAATACATATTACTAAATACATATTACTAAATACATATTACTAAATACATATTACTAAATACCTAAATATGTAATTTTTATAGTATGGTAGTAATCGTCGTTACAATAGTCGAAGCAATGGTGACCGTGATGAACATGATGAACGTGATGAGCGTGATGAACGTGATGAACGTGATGGACGTGATGGACGTGATGGACGTGATGAAAATGACTCTACAGCAGCTGTTACATCTGAAGATGCTCCAGCTTTAAATGGTACTCGTAAACCTCGTGGTAGTGGCTATCGTGGACGTGGTGGACGTGGACGTGGACGCGGACGTGGACGTGGTGGTTATCGTGGTGGACGCGGTGGCAGGTTTTACAATAGACGTCGTAGCAATTATTCAGCAAGTAGAAATACTGAACCATCTAAAACCGATGTATTTGTTGCCAACTTACCCTTTTCTGTTACGGATGAAAGTTTGAAAGAAATTTTCAATGCTTATGATGTTAAAAGTGCTCAAGCGTGATGAACGTGATGAACGTGATGGACGTGATGGACGTGATGGACGTGATGAAAATGACTCTACAGCAGCTGTTACATCTGAAGATGCTCCAGCTTTAAATGGTACTCGTAAACCTCGTGGTAGTGGCTATCGTGGACGTGGTGGACGTGGACGTGGACGCGGACGTGGACGTGGTGGTTATCGTGGTGGACGCGGTGGCAGGTTTTACAATAGACGTCGTAGCAATTATTCAGCAAGTAGAAATACTGAACCATCTAAAACCGATGTATTTGTTGCCAACTTACCCTTTTCTGTTACGGATGAAAGTTTGAAAGAAATTTTCAATGCTTATGATGTTAAAAGTGCTCATGTGGTTCAATATCGTGGACAATCAAAAGGCTTTGGATTTGTTGAATTGGCTTCTGAAGAAGAACAGTCTAAAGTTATTGAAGCATCTAGAACTTTTAAATCTGACGGAAGAGAATTGGTTGTTAGAATCGCTATGAGTAATCAACATGTTCAAAATGAAGAAGACACTACTGAAAAAAACGAAGTAACTGATGCTGGTACCGAGGCTGATGCTGAGGCTGATGAGAAGAAAGAAGGTTGATTTTTATTATAAATTCATACAAATATTTTTATATTGTTTATTTACATTAATAAATTTACTAATAAGTTTTAATAATAATTTCAGAATAAATAATTTCCAATTCAAAGGCTCTTCTTATTTCAAAAAATATAAATATATATATCAAGTTATTTTTGTATTCTAACAGAAAATTTCTTTATTGTTTTAACATACATATTATTAAATTTTTTTCTTTTCTGCAATTATATCTTAGTTCCTTTTTTTCCTTTTCTTTTTTTTTTATTAAATAAATTATTACTTCAATGGTAATTATAATGTTAATATATATACACACACACATATATATATATTACATTTTTATTATATTTATTTATTTATTTAGATATATATATATTATTTATCACCACAATATCTTTGTTTTTGGTTTTTTATGTATTTATGTACTATTTTATTTGGGCAAAAAAAAAAAAAAAATTATTTTCAAAAGTTTATTTTGCTCTTCTTATTCTGTTTTATTCTTCTTTATTCTTACTAAAAAAAAGTTCTTATTTCATTATTACTTATTATATGATATTATTTATAGTTTTTCTTCTTCTTTCTAGTAATGATATTTTTTAATGATCTTTTTTTTAAAAAAAAAATTTTTTGTAGTTTGGGAGCTTTTAATTTTACATTATTATTATTATTATTATTTATGTCAATATTTTTATTTATTTTAATAATTTTAATGATGTCAAATTTAAAAAAAATAAAATGATTTTATTTCAAAATTACACATTTAAAGCATCTAATTTGGGCTTTGTTTGTATACAGAGTATTAAAGGATTAGTTAAAGATTTAACACGCATTATGTTTTTTCGATAAGCCTTCTAGTAATTGCTTTGGATACATAATCTTGTACTTTTTAGGAATATATGGGTAATAAAAAAACGTTTTTTTGCTTTCTCATTCAAACGTTCTTGGCTCTATTAGATTTACTATATATTATTTTTAGCCACTTTAAATTTGCTCCCATGCTGGTCTGGAAAAGGGGATAAATTCTACCCTGAAATTCTATCGCTAAATGAAGTTTAGAGTAGCTATAACCCCAGTGGACATCCGAGAGTTAATCTTCTGATTTTTGATGGTTCTCTTAATAATAATCATCTTTCACAAATAACAGAGATGATTTGGTTGTATGCATCACCATTGAACACGTATTCTATGTGTTGGAATTTTCCCGATGAACTAACTAATTCATCCATTTCTTGAGACAGTAGACTCTCTTCCCTTTATCTTCAATGACAACCTATGTATAAATATTAAATGTTATGAAGATATGTGACATCGACATATACGTTTGTGCAAGCCATTATATGTTTTCCTCTTTGTCCATTGGACGTTTACGTTCTAGAAATTTGATTAGCGAGCAGCACATCTATTCGTTGAAAGACACGTCAATTTTGGACATTATAACTCAAAAACTTTAAATGATAGCGATGGGACTACAATTTTTAGTTAAGGTTGACAGATCGACTTTGATCATATTTTCTTCGCGCTCGTTTATGTAGCTCCTGATAAGTTTTATTTTTAATTCTTCTATCTGCGTTAAATAATTGGTCTACCATGTCAAATTATTTGTTGGTTCCTCAACTATGATGGCACCTTCAAATATTGGATAATGTGTATTATGCGGAAAATTTTCTAATATCATCACATTGCATAAAAACCAAAGTTCATGATATTGGATTTGCTTATTCAATGAAAGCGCAATTATTGCCACTATTGTTTGATGCTGTCATTGAAATCGCAATATCACTATCCAAACTATTGATTCTTTTTAAAATAATATTATTTAATCTAAAAAAAGGTTCATTTCGGTTGGATCTTCCTTTTATATTCTTTTACTCGTAGTGCAAATTGTTGTTTTTTTGAAAATCTTCCAAACACAAATTCATCTTCTAAACCCAATCGATTTTTTCAAGAATCACTACACTAATACTAATTATAATCCTTTTCATCATTGTTATTTGTGACTTCCGAAAAAATCACTCCTATTTACACTTCGCCACATCTGTGTAGCCTTAACCCAAAGCCACGAATATTTAAGTTCCCAAAAGAAATGTGAGCTAACTAGCTTCTTCCAAGTCGTCTCATGTTTAAAAAACAATTAATGTTTATTCCACTTAAATAATTTACTAATTTAACAGAGGACCCCGTCGCACATTATATGCGCGAAATTATGTAGACTTGATACTAAGATTTTGAAAATCTTACTATGTGATGATTAAATGGTATACATGAAATGATTTAATACATGGTGGGTAATCTATTAATAAGTAGAGGTGGTAGTTATATTACAAATTTAGGATTATGTGGACCAGTTGATGAAAAGTCGTCAAATAAAATCTACGGAATTATATCATATGTTGCACCTGAGCTATTTAATGGTGAAAAGAACATAAAAGAATCTGATATCTATAGTGTTGGGATGTTAATATTTGCTGGCCATTCACCATTTGATTATAGAGCTCACAATCATTATTTGATTTTTGATATATGTGCAGGCTTACGACCACCAATATTACCTGAAATGCCTGATGATTATGTGCAGATGATGCAGGGATGTGGATCCATTAAAAAGGCCAACTAGTAGATAGCTATAATTTTGCTTATAATAAAAATAACGAAATAAAAATAACAAATAAAAGTTTGAAAAATAATAGTTAGTAACTTAGTAAAAAAATTTATAATTATGGTAGCGGTACACAAATCACATACTTTAAAAGTTATACAAGTTCATTATTGCGAGAAATTGTTTGTTACACACTCCGCAAAGAAAAAAAGGACTATCAGTCAGGCGACATTTCACGCGATCGACATGTCTACTGTAATAACTATGTAGAAATTTTGTGCAACATGTCAATTTTTACTATTAAAATCGAAGGAACTTTTTCATTTGTCACCTAGCACACCCACATGAAGTTTTAACCAGAAACGTGATATTTTGTACACGCATTCTTTGAGACTTATTTTATTTCCTTGCAAAATTTTAGCTATGGTTTACTAAAAAAACGGAAAAGAATTACTTGTTGAAAGTTACGCCTTCAATTCTTAATCATGTTACAACAAATTATTTTGAACTTGTAATTTCAATAAAACATAAACAAGAAGCCACCATTTGGTTTTTAGAAATAATATTACATTGTGTTGGCGAGGCATGGACAAATGGAAACAAGGTCAACTTCTATGATCCACATCTCAAATGTATAATTCCTTAATAAATAAAATAATTCTTTACTAATAAGCTTTGTTTATCAATAGAAAATTCACATTATATTTTTTACTTGTAAAAGAAAATGCATGATTATATATATATCTTTTAATTCAACTAGCATAGTGAGTTTTGGAATAACTATTACTACCACATAAAATCAACCTTATGGATGGATATATTTATGTTTAAGAAAACTAAAAGGTAATAATAATAATTTAATGGGTTAAAATAACTCTCACTACATTAATAAATGAATATATTTAATATTGTATTTAATATAAATCAGTAAATAATTATATTGTTTTTTATTATATGAGTCAGATATGAAGTACAAGAATATATAACAATAATTCAGCAAACACACATAACCATAAATCAGGGCAGAATGTCATCCTAATAGTGGTATTTTCATTCCAATCAGTTCAGTATTTTTATTAATTAATCAAAATTTAAAAAAATCAAAGAATTTTAACATGAGCAGTTGATGTTTTAAATTGTAGGCGATCTTTAAAGTCTCTATAATAAACAATATGTAATTTTTCAGTATGATGGATGATGTAACTTCAGCTTTCTAATGACTATAAGATTGTCAATTTATTCCAAAAATTGGAATATTAACAGCAAATATTAATTTATCAATTATAGTGTAAATTGATTGA